ATTTTTATTTATTTATTTATTTATTTATTGGTTTTTTGAGACAGGGTTTCTCTGTGTAGTTTTGGTGACTATCCTGGATCTTGCTCTGTAGACCAAGCTGGTCTGGAACTTACAGAGATCCACCTGGCTCTGTCTCCTGAGTGCTGGGATTAAAGGTGTACACTACTGCCACATGGCGGTAAATTTATTTTTGTAGAGCAACAAATGCTTTTAACTATTTAATCATCTCTCCAGTTCCCAATTTTAACTTTTTAATTCTATTTTTTTCTATCAGGTTAAACACCTACTCTATAATTGCTTCTTCTCTTGAAGATGTTCATGGCTGTTCTCAGTCTTCTATAAAACTTTAGGGTTGTTTTGGGTCTTTTTGGCCCCCAACTCTAATAACCTTAGAGATTTAGATCCAAAATAGTCCAGTTCTGGGGAAAGCAACAGTCTTTGCAGTTCTGAGTCTCGTGCTCCAGGGTGGAGGCTATCCTTTCAATTTGTTCAGATCATTGGGGTCAGAAGCTCCCCAACATTTCAAATTTAAAAAAATTAAATTTTACTTATTTATTGGTGTGTGTGCATGAGCCTATATGTAGCACAAATCTTAAAAGGTCTTATTAATAAAAACAAACCCAGAGCCAGGTATTGGGGTGAACACTGGAAGATCAGAGAAGCAGAACGAGCCACAGCTTCCTCACCTCACTAATTCCTCAGCTGATCCTGTTTCCTCAGACTGGAAGCCTCTGAGTCCTCATCCAGAATGACTCTCAGCTGAACTGTGCTGCTCAAAAGCCTAAAAGCTAAACCCCTAGTTCCTGGTCCTCAGGCCTTATATACCTTTCTGCTTTCTGCCATCACTTCTTGGGATTAAAGGCGTGTGTCCCATACCTGGCTGTTTCCAGTGTGACTTTAAACTCTGGAATGCTAGCATTAAAGGCTTTAAAGGCCACCATTTTCTGGCCTCTATATCTAGTGGCTGTCCTGTTCTCTGACCCCAGATAAATTTATTAGGGTGCACAATATATTGGGGGACACAATATCACCACACCTATATGTGCCACAGCACATGTGTGTGGAGCTCAGAAGACAACTTCCATGAGTTGGTTCTCTCCTTCCACAGTATGGGACCTAGGAATTGACTCAGGTCAAGTTAGCCTTGGCAGGGAGCATCTTTACCTGCCATGCCATCTTACTGGGCTTTTACCCAGCATTTCACAGCCTTAGTTACATCAGACCAGCATATTTTTGCATAAAATTTTCATTTATAAACTCATAGAATTATGGAAATGTTCTTATATCTCTAAGGGTTGGCTTTTCTCACTTATAAAATTAAGGAGGTAATATAATGATTATTTAAATAATATATGTAAGATGCACATTGTGTTAGCTGAATTCTGGGGAAATTGGCCATTTTATGTTACATATCTATGTTTCATATTTATGCATGATATATTTGTTAATTATATATTGAAATTTTTTTCCCCAAAGTTTTCAGTTAAATTTTATGTTTTGTAACTACCAGATAAATTTAAAACCATGATACCTCGTCTATTAGGTTTGTTCTTTGACTGGAGAACAATTGTTTTGTTTGTTTGTTGAGACAACAATCTGTCAACGGGCAGATTATAAAGCCCAGGCTGGCTTCAAACGCACCATCTCTTGCCTCCACCTCCCAAATGCCGGTATTATAGGTGTGCAACACCATGCCCAGCCTCTGCTCATTTTCCCCCTGATATTTATACCTTCCTTCTTTACCCTTTTATTTTACTTTTATACCAGACTGCCTTATCTCCCTTTGTTGGCAGCGATTCTTCCAGTGTTTTAGATATTTGCTTATTTGGATATTTTCCATATAATTAAAATTAGAGTACTTCTCTAAAACAAATCCAGATACGACTTGTGTGCCAATAATATTGATAGACATTAAAGGCTTAACGTTTGTCATTTTATTATTTTGTGTGTGTTTATGCATGGGCGTGCGCATGTGCCCAGCATGAGTGTGGAGGTCAGAGGACAACTTGCAGTTGATTCTCTTTCCACCCCACGGATCCCAGGGATTGAACTCAGGTCGCCAGGCTTGGCAGCAAGTGTCTTTCCCCACGGAGCCATTTTGCTAGCCCAGTCAGAGATGTTTGAGTCTAGATCTTTCTGGGGTTCATGAAAGTTTTCTTCTGTTCTATTTCTTCTTCTTTTTCTTTTCTTCGTCCTACCGTAGGGTTGTAGAGTGGAAACCCCTAGCTCTTCGTTGCCTATTGGAAGATTGTCCTCAAGGTGAAGAGACCACTTTCATTCTGTGACATGTGGCGGCTTCCACCTTTGAGCCAGCAGCAAGAACTGAATGCTGCTCCGGCCTTCAGACAGGCCCCCTCACCTCCAACCCTGCCACCCCTCGGACTTCTACCTGAGAAGCTCCTCTCTCTGAAGGCCCGTGTGGTGAGACTGTGTCCACCGTGATAATACTGGATCATCTCTAAATTTATAACCTTAGTAACCTCACTTGGGTCCTTCTTGCTGCAGACTGTGGTATAATCACATATTCCGAGGATTCCAGCATTGGGATATGTGTGGAAGCTACTATGCTCCCTTTAGGCTTTTTATCACGTCTTCCTGGAACACAATTCACTTTTTCCACCGTGATAATACTGGATCATCTCTAAATTTATAACCTTAGTAACCTCACTTGGGTCCTTCTTGCTGCAGACTGTGGTATAATCACATATTCCGAGGATTCCAGCATTGGGATATGTGTGGAAGCTACTATGCTCCCTTTAGGCTTTTTATCACGTCTTCCTGGAACACAATTCACTTTTTCAAGATGTGTTTTTCCTTATTTTATTTTTGTAAACACTTTCTGTTTCATGTTGCTGTCTCGATTCTCTTCAATATTGGCTTACCTAAGTTCCCTCTTCCTGTGACCCTAAAAGTGGCGGTTTTAATCATCCGTGTTATGGGACATAGTGTATACATGAGTCTTACCTGTTTAAAGGGCACTATCAATGAGTTTTGAGAGAAGAGATGCTCATGTCTGCAGCAGCGGCATTGGAGGCAGGGACAAGAGTTCTCTTCAGAGACAGCTCCTCAAGTGAAGCCGAGTTTCCGTATTTCGCAGCAGAAAATAGTTTCAGCACCAGCTAGTCTGAAGTGGAGTTGGTGAATTCTGAAAAGAGACTTCCAGGTAAATGGAAGCTTGGGGGTTATCAGACTGAGATATTAATCCTCGAAAGGACAGAGTAAGCCACACCCCAGCACTGCTGTGAGCTGCCAGAGGAGTCACTCAAGTGTCTCAGTAGTCACTGCATACAGGATTTGGGAAGCTTTGGAAAGCACACTGTTCAGAGTCATCGTAGCTTTGGAACATTAATTAATGGTGGGAACTGCGTCTTGGCACCTCAGCAGCAGCTTCTCCTGGCTATCTAGCAGATGGACACTGTTTGACACATTGGAGTCCTGAGTTCCGCTTCTACAGTGCTTCACATTGCATTTATCTCACTTAGTGTATAGTGTGAAGTCTAATATCATAGTCTTAGGGGTGGTGTTGGAGTAAATACACCTGCTGAGTGACGTTACTCAATGCAGAGTTTTCTAAACTTGATCTGTCACGGAATTCTTTCTCTTGTCACTTTATTTTCTTTTAATTTTTATTCATCTTTTTGTGTGTAGGTGTGTATGTATACATGTGCATATGTGTAGGGGGTGGGGGTGGGGGTGGTCTGTGTGTGATAAGTACAAGCATGCGTGTCACAGAGTGTGTGTGGAGCTCAGAGGATAACTTCCAGCAGTCAAGAAGGAGTCGCCTTCTTCCTTGTTTGTGGCAGAGTCTCACTTGTTTCTGCCCCTGTGCTGCATATTCCGGGTTAGCTGACCTGTGAGCTTCTGGGCCATCCTCCTTCTCCACTTGGCCAAAGAAGTGCTGAGATAGCCCACTACCACACCCGGCTTTGTACGTGGGTTCTGGGGGTCAAACTCACTTGGGTTTTAAGGCTCCTAGCCCAGTCTCAGGCCCGGCTTTGTATGTGGGTTCTGGGGATTGTCAGGTTCATATTGCAAGGACTTTCACCCACTAAGCTGTCCCCACCCTTCCATCAACTTGTTACTGTCCTGTGATACAAAGGACTGCGTCGGAGTGTCTTACATATGCATGTCCCGACAGAGTCTAAGTTTTAATGAATGTGTGCAAGGGTTAGACATACTTTCTGAAGAGGGCCAGAGAGTAAATATTTTAGGTTACAAAGAATAAATGATCTGTTGTAAACATTCACTTCTGCCCAGTAGCAGAAAAACAGGCATAAATGAGAGGTTGACAAATGAGCGTGTGGCCGTGTCCCGGGTATGGTTTTCATTATCGACACTAAAATGTGGATTCTATTTAATTTTCCTGTGTCACAAAATATTGTCCTCTTTCATCACCAACAGTGTCAAACTACAAAAGTCATTTGTAGCTGGTGGGCTGTTACAGGAACAGCTATAATAAGCTGGGTTTGATTTGAGAGTTTGGCAACCTTCATGAATGAATGCTTCACTCTCTGGCCAGTTTGTGCACCCCCACCTATGTTCAGGAACATTTAAAAGCCCAAGTATCTGTTAAACACAAAAGGAGGACATCACAGCCTTGTCCTCTTCGCACACACATCTGCCTTACCCTGCAGCTGAGCTCTCAAATCCCGAGAAGGTTCAACACTATTCCCCCCGTTACGAAGCGGAAGTTCACCTTTGTAAACTGGCTGATTAAAGACTAGCAACAATACCCCTCTTGAAATGAAATCATGTAATTATCTCTAAATGGTAGCTTATTTATTACATCTTAAGACACACTGTAGTGCTTTACACTGGTCTTAGCATGGAACTTTGATTTTTGTGTGGAGGCAAAATTAGTGTGTCTTTAATGAAGAATTCTCTCTGTCGGTTGTAAGATTTCAAAACAGGTTAACCAAATAATTGACAGTCATCAGAACCATAGCATTCGTCTTCTGGACCTCATGTGACCCCCTCTCCTGGCTTCTGGTGTTTCTCAGGTTCATCCCAGAACCCTGGTCGGCCTGCAGCACCACCTGTGGGCCGGGCATTCAGATGCGTGAGGTGAGGTGTCTGGTGCTCCTCACATTCACACAGACTGAGACTGAGCTCCCTGAGGAAGAGTGCGAAGGCCCCAAGCCGCCCACTGAGCGACCCTGCCTCCTTGAAGCCTGTGACCAGAGCCCTATGTCTCCAGAGCTGGGTGGCCCTCTCCAGGAGAAGGACAGTGAGATGACTTACGACTGGGAGTATGCTGGTTTTACGCCCTGCACTGCGACGTGTTTAGGAGGTATTCAAACCCCTTCCTAAGAGATAGACACGTGGTCTACTGTGGAGGGTATGATCACATGTACACCATATATGCAAATCAGCATAAATCTAAAAGGGATGAATTCATTCAATAGCAAAACTATGCTTTTTCTTTCTTTTATATTTGGGAGTTATAGTGACTAAAACAGTATCTTTGACCTAAGAATTTGCTTCATCAAGAGAGGAACAGGTTCACTGGTTAATATGGAATAAGTTAGAAAATGCAGAATGGATATATTGAAGCAATCTTACGTAGAAATCAGTGTCATAGGACGAGGCCGCCTAGGATTGCTTATAGCTGCTGTGATGGTCAGTAAGATGCATCCTAAGAAAATGTTTCTGTTCATGCCTGCTGCTGGGCCAGGAACCGGTACAGAGCACGTTCACCCCCATGATGGGTGGATAGCTGACATGCAGGGCCAGGCTAGGTATAGGAGATAACTGGTGTGTGTAGCCAGGTTCTCCTTAGAAGGGGAAGTGGAACTTGGGATTGTTAAAGCATTAAGAATTTTTTTTGAAGGAATAAATTAGCAAGGAGCCAGTGTCCAAGAGCTGTTTTCTTTCTAGCTTTTGCTTAAAGTGGGAGGATGAAGATAACTGGCAAGGGGCTAGGAGCATGGCTTAGTAAAGAGCTGACTGCACAGCCTGAAGTCCTGATGTCTTAGGGCTTCCATTGCTGAGAGGACACACCGTGACCACAGCAACTCTTGTAAAGGGAACATTTCATTGGGGTGGCTCACTTACAGTTTAGAGGTTCAGTCCATTATCATCCTGGCAGGGAGCATGGTACAGGAGAAGTAGCTGAGAGTTCTACATCTTGCAGGCAATAGGAAGTGTCATGAGACACTGGGTGGGGCTTGAGCATCTATGAGACCTCAAAGCTCGCCTCCACAGTGACACACTCCCTCCAATAAGGTCACACCCACTCCAACAAAGCCACACCTCCTAATAGTGCCACTCCCTTTGGGGGGGGCGTTTTCTTTCAAACCACCACAGCTGAGTTTGATCCCAGTACTCATATAAAAAGCCAGGCCTGGTAGTGTGGGTGGTGAAGACAAGTGGGTCCCAGGGACTTAATGGCCAACTAATCCAATCAGTGAGCCCCAGGCTAGTGAGAAACCATGTTTCAGAAGCCAGGTGGATGGCTTCTAAGGAACAACACCCAAGGTTGGTATCTGGCTTTCATAGTCATTTGTGCCTGCGTGTGCATGCACGTGTACACACACACACACACACACACACACACACACACACACACACACACACACGATTTAAAAGAAAACATAACAACCAGGAAAGCTAGAAATGTTACTAACAAGAAAGAACCCTCGTTTCTCCTGTGAGCCAGGACCCCTGACACCCTGTCTATTCTATAACTCTTGATTTAGCTGTCCAGCCAGCCACTTGCTATGCGGTGGGCTCCCTCCGGTGTCACCTCTCAAAGAAGGTCAGAAAGCAAAAGAAGCACCTACCTCTGAGCTATTGGCTCATGAGTGTGCTCCACTCTTTCTAGGGGTCTTAAGCTGGTGGCTTGGAATGCCCTAGTAGGTGGTAGATCTCGAGGCCAACCATTGTGACTCAGATCCTCACTCTGGAGACTGAATTCTCAATCCTTGCCCTCCAGTGTCCCTGATCTGTCTCTGAACACACTCATCCTTGAGCTCTGCTCTGTACCACTGCCACCTTGGTACTCAGTCCCCTAAAATGGCATGTGCCTCACTCCAGGCTACAGCAGGGCTACTGGTGTGTGTGTGGAGCTGTCCTTGTGGAGTTCCGAGAAAGAACCCTTAACTGAGTCAAGTGCATGGAGACAGGCCTGTAGACCCAACACTTGAGAAGTAGAGGCGAGAAGACCAGGATTTCCAAGATCATCCTCTGCCAGCGTTTGAGGTCAGCCTGGGCTACAGGAGAGCCCCAGCTGCCTCCATTTACTCCCCCGCCCTCACTCACTGCTCCCTCATTCCTAGAAGCCCATTCCAGCTAGGAATTTAACCTTTTTGATTTACTTGGACCTGAAACACAAACCATGTCTCTTATCTCCAGAGCACAGGACCTCAGTGTCCCTCAAAGCTGTCATGCATTTGCCCCAAACTTAACTTCTCTCCAAGTTCAGGACCTCAGATGCCTCTTATTATGCGTCTTGGAAACCTTAACCCTGTCATGCTCTTGGCATATAGAAAGTGGCCCTTTCTCTTGATGAGTCCTAGCAGCAGTGGAAGAGAATAAAAGTTGAATAAGTTCACTCTGGGCTCATTTTAACATGCTCCCTGTGGAGAGGTGTTCCTGACACGGTACATTAGCCATCATGGTTTTGCTCTCTCCAAAATCCCTTCAAATCTTGACAGGCCGTGAGCTGTAGTCTTTCCAGCTACTCTTGCTATAATTGGTCACTTCCTGTCAGGTCCCAGCGATGTTCAGGATGCCCATCATAAAGCTGAACAGCCTTCAACAACCTTTCATCTTTACCAGCTGTGTCTTCACAGCCTCCTGAAAAAAAGCCACCTGTGTGGGACACTGAGCGATGTGCATATTTGCGAAAAGTGTGGCACTGTTCACTGAACTTCTCTGGGTCCATGACATACTGTTTCCTCTCTTCTGGAGGGTTGTAGTAGTCTGCACTTAATTATACTAGCTAATTTTTTCAATATGAACTCAGGTGCACATGTGGGCACACACACACACATCACACACAAATGCCACACACATGCAAATATCACATACACACATACCTCACAAGTACATATCACATATACGTGATATGTGAGGATGTGGTATGAACTTGACAATAACGTAGCTCAAACTGATCAAAACCAACACAAAGAAATTTACTTATTCTTTGATTTGTTTATTTTTTGGTATGGGGTATTATGTAGTCCTGGCTGTCCTGGAACTCACTCTGTAGACCAGGCTGGCCTCAAACTCACAAAGATCTGCTTGCCTCTGCCTCCCAAATGCTGGGATTAAATGAGTGTGCCACCATTACTGGCTGTATTTTTTTTAATTGGCTCTGCTTCCACTATTAGAATATTTGTTTTTACATTCATCATTTATTTATTTCTTGATGAAGACTTTGAGTGTATATTTTTATACACATGTACCTATAGATGTGGCCATGTGCCATCACATACATGATGAGGGTCCCATAATGTGATATCATGAAGAGATGTCACTTCTGTCTTGCTTGTGCAAGGACACTGTACGTTTGCACAATGAAAGATTATCCAATAACATATGTCCTTGAATGTTTCCTTGTCATTGGCATATGACTGTGTGTGTGTGTGTGTGTGTGTGTGTGTGTGTGTGTGTGTGTGTGTGTAACTAAGAGATGACACTTTTATCCAAACACTGCAGAAATCAAGTATGAGGGATATATTCTCATGCAACAAAAGGAATTTATTATATAAACTTCACTGAACACATTCATTAACATGTTCTAAGCATGGAAATGTAGTGACCTGAATTTTGTTAGGAATAATATGAACTTATTTGGATGAATTTTAAATTTTACCTTTTTCTGTTTTAAAGATAACTATTTGATCAAACCTCCCCAAGAAGTAATGTTAAAATCACATTGTTGGATCAAAATGTGGTCTAGGAAATATTCTGTGGCCACCTCTGGAAAATATATTCTATACCAATAAATATACCAAATTATTTTGTAGATTATAAACTTCTTTCTGTTGACAAAAAAGTATGTCATGGGTGTTGTAAATTCTTTCCAAATGATTTCAAGTGGTGCTCTAAGAACTTCCCCAAGTCTGTCTCCATAGAATGTTGAAAAATATTCTGAATAGATTCTCTAAAGAATTTGTTACAAATTGAAATGTATTTGAAATATGACTGCAATTTTCTTAGATTTTTTTTTACTTTGTCTAAAATTTTATTTTATTTTATTTTTTTATTAAGAGATTTTCTATTCATTTTGCATACCAACCACAGATTTAAAAAAAAAAAAAAACAAAATCTATTAGGAAATGAGCATCCATTCTCCTATGAGGCTACTAAGGGATTTGATACTTTGAAATAAAAGTCAGAGACCCTAGGCTGTAGCCATGTCTTCTTGCATTTTGGGGTAATCAGTCCTTGTGTGAAATACTCAAAAGAAGGTACCTGCTGACTGCACCTCGCCATCATGGTGAGCATAACAGTGTAGATGAAGATAGGGAGAAAACTTATCAGAGAGAGTCGAAAAAACAAAATTTCTATCCTAGAAGTATTTTGGCCTATACTGCTTTCTGCAAAATGCTGTAAAATGGTTTAATTGAAACATGGCATTCAGAAAAAGGGCCACAAACTTGTAACATAATCGAAAGTGCATTTGATGTAAAAGTGAATATGTTTGTGTATTTCAAATAACAGGCAGTCACTGTGTTTTCACTAGATATTTTTCATCAAAAGTTTGAGTCCTATTTCACCCAGTTCCAAGTTTCCAATAATTTTTATCATTTTTTTCTGAACAGACAAAGAATACTGGTTGAGAGTGTTGGCTTTAGGAGTTGCATAGATTTGTCTGTCTGGCCTCCAGGGGAGCATATGCCCTTGAATGTTCACATTTATACAGGGGGCTATTGCTGCATGTGAAGGCCATGTCACATTCTGGAGTCCCCAGTGTACAAAACAGAGACCACTGAATCCAGAGGCAGGGTATCACTCTTCCGGGGGCTTTTTCCACCTAATTATCTATTTTTACCTTTCCATTCTCAGGTGTGTGTGTGTGTGTGTGTGTGTGTGTGTGTGTGTGTGTGTGTGTATTGTGCATTCGTATATGTACATTTGCACATGTCTGGGCACCCATGTGTGGATGTACCCTTAGAGGCCCTAAGTGATTTCAGGAATCATCTTAATCAATCATCCACCTTATTACCTGAAGCAGAGTCTCTCAATCAAACCCAGAGCTCATGGATATGGATTTGGATTTGGCTAGTCTCCCCAGGCAGCTTGTTGTGGGGTCCCAGCTCTGCTTTCTGAGGCTGGAATTCAGAGGAATGGCCACCCCCACTGAGCATTTACCTGGGTTTGGGGATCTAAATTCCGGGTCTCCCCTTTGTGCAACAAGCACGTTAATGGCTGAACCATCCCCCAGGCTAACTCTTCCGTGTAGCTAAAGTTGTCCTGTGTCCCACCCGGTCCTGCAGCCACTCGAACCCAACTAAACACACAGAGGCTTATATTACTTGCAAACTGTATGGTCTATGGCAGGCCTCTTGCTACCTAGCTCTTTTATCTTAAATTAACCCATTTCTATAAATCTATACCTTGCCACGTGGCTTGTGGCTTACCAATACCTTTACATCTTGCTTCTCCTGGTGGTGGCTAGCAGCACCTCTCCTTTCTCTTCCTATTTGTTTGGATTTCCTGCCTGCCTCTAAGCTGCCTTGCCATAGGCCAAACGGCTTTATTTATCAACCAATCAGAGCAACACATATTCACAGTGTACAGAAAGACATCCACAGCACTTCAGCTTTTATTTTTACCACTACTTCAGTCATAATAGCTCTCTAAATTTCAAATTCCTTACTGTCGCATGACTAAAATGGAGACATGAATGCCATTTGTTTGGCCTCCTGAGTTATTGCAGACTTAGGTAAAAGCCCATCACAAGCTTGTGCAATGGGAGGCATTTCTGCCAACAAAAGCATCACTAATTGCTTTCAAACTGTGTGATTCAGAGTACAACGAGATTCACTAATGTATGGTGATCTAGGAAAAAAAGTGATATTCTGTAGCAGAACATGTAAAGTTTTCCCTTAGGAAAACTGTTGTACACGATGGGAAGATACACCTTGCCTGTGGGGGTGGGGGGTGGGGAGTATTTGGGGGGGGGGACACCTAGCTCTCCTTAGGAAGCAGCTGATTCTGAGTGTAGGCTCCTCTGACATGTTTCCAGATAAGTAGATCTTGGATAAGATAGAGGAGAGAGGCTGAGTCTAAAGGTGAATGAAGACGTATTAAGGGCTGGAGTCTTGGGGTTTGCTCACAGATGGCTTCTGATGCAGTCGAAAGGACAATGTCCTAGTGACCTGAGGTCCCCAAATACTGTCTTCTTCTTTGTATGGTGAGTTGTTCTGTGTCCACGTTGTTTCTCTTTCCACCTTCCAGGCCATCAAGAAGCCATCGCCGTGTGCTTACATATCCAGACTCAGCAGACCGTCAATGACAGCCTGTGTGATGTGGTGCACCGTCCTCCAGCAATGAGTCAGGCCTGTAACACGGAGCCCTGCCCGCCTAGGTATGTGAAGGATAGAAATATTGTCAGAACCTTAACACCCTCTTTCAAAGAGAAACTCACTGTGTGTAGAGACTCATGAACTCATCAAAGTAGATCAACTGATCCCACTCAGAGCTCTTGTCTGCTCGTTATGCTGTGGCCCCAGCTTCTTTGGGGGTACATTCAAGGGCAACTAATCTAGGAAGAATTCCTCTTAAACCTTACTTTCACTGGCAACAAGCATCCCTGGACACAAGCTGGCCTGCTGTTATAAAAACCAGCCAGTGTGTTCCCTTTTTCTTCCTAGTCTCCCCAAAGGAACTTCTCCCTCTGGTGACACAGCATCTGAGGGAGAGGTCACATGGGCCCACAGCAGGCCTGCTGTCTGTATCTGTGGACCACTCAGTGATCTGCTTGTCACCTAAAACTCACACAGATAGGCTATTATCTTCCCGTGCTATCTTGCCCTGGGTCTCAGATTTTGGAGTTTGAAATGCCATGACCCCCAGAACAGCTGAGGTTGATTGGTTATGGTCTCTTTGATTTGAAAGACTGGCCTTAAAAGTTAATTGGCTCCCTTGTCTGGATCCTCTCTCCCTGGGGGTTGCTGGTTACAGATGACGATAACTCAGCATCTTTGGTATGTCACACAGACCTTTCCCAGTCTGGCCCTGGCTGTTCTTTTCCTTTGTCTACCTTTATTATGTCCACCACTCTTCTGTTTTAATAAAAATTAGATGCCAAAAAAAAAAATGAGAGCCTGTTCCATCACACCCCCCACCTCTGCTGGAGTCTTAGTGATTATGCTGTCCACCTGGTAAGTCACCTTCACTTGTTAAAGGCGGATTTTGCTATGTCTAAAACTCTAGGTGATGGATGAAGGTTAGTGTGTCCCTGTCTGCCATTCCGAGCAAAACATAAGTATAAACATATGAACATTCAGGAAACAAGTTATGCTCGAATTCTATTGTTGCTTCTGTGAAATGTATCGGTTGTGATGTTGACCCTCGTGCCTTGAGGGCATAAGAATGAGGATCAAGGCAGTTGGTCCACTCTGGTCACCAGGTCCTTTGCAGACTGGAGATGGGCATCCTTCCTTCATGAGCCTTGTCCTCTAACCTGGAGTGTCTCAGGAGGAGGCCAGCTCAGATGTGCCTGATGCTTGGTAAAACCTTACCCGCAGTGAGATGACACAGTGGTTTTTGTCCATGTCTGCATTTCTGACTTTGTTGGTATCTGTCAGAAATACTAGGAATGTCTTAGCTGCTCTCAGAGCAATTTTTCTGGACTCAGGTGGGATAATGCAGTAAAAGTCGAGGCCCAGAAACAGCACAGGGAAGTCTCTTCCCCTTGCCTCACATTCACATCTTGGTGACTGCATTTCAGGGTAATCCACACTAGAAAAGGCATTACAGAATAGGCAATATAAATGGGAGAGAAAGTGTGTTCTCACTGCCAAGCAGGTCACCCACTTTGTTAGCTACATCTAGAGCTTCCCTCTGAGAATCAAGCACAGTCAGCTCTTCATGTTCAACAATTGCACATTCAAACCAGTCGTGAACAAAAGTATTATTTTAATGGTCCAGGAGTATAACTCAGTATAGAGAGCTATGTAAAGGCGTAATATATGTAAGGCCTTATGGTTGATCTCTAACACTGTGAAAAATTGTTTTGCTTTGTTTTTTTTCTGTCTCAAACATATCCAACTGTAGAACTAATCTTGGTCGTCAGCTAGACCCACTTGGGGAAGGGGAAAATCAGTGGAGGGGTTGCCTCCATCAGGTTAGCTGGAAGCACATCTGTGGAGCCTTTTCTCAGTTGCTGATAGATGTAGGAAGGTCCGGCGTACTGTGGGCAGCACTAGGCAGGTGAGCCTGGGCTTTATATGAAATTGGTAGCTGATCATGAGCTTGGAAGTAAGCCAGGGAGTAAGCAGTATTTCTCCATAGTCTTTACTTCAGTTTATGATTCCAGATTCCTGTCTTGAGTTCCTGTCGTGGCTTCCCTTTATGAGGGAAGCGTTTATGAGGGAACTACAGAAGTGTTAAGATGAAATAAATCCTTGCCTCCCCAAGTTGCTTATTGGCCACAGTGTTTACCATAGCAACCAAAAGCAAACAAAAACACCAGGCTTATTATTTTTCATCACTATTCTCCAAGTAGTATAATATAGCAACTCTTTACACAGTATTCACATTGTAACCTAGAGTACGTCAGAGGGTGTGTAGGTATACACAAAAGTAACCATTTCCAAGTACTTGGAAATCATGGATTTTGGTATCTTCTGGGGAAGGGGATTGTCTTGGAATACTTGCTGCAGGCACAAAGGATGACTTTATTTGGGGGTAGTGTGGGGTGTGAATCCAATTGGGAGAATCCGCTCATAATAATACTTGGTACTAAGTGGAGAAACCTTAGTGAACCAATCAACTTATCCAGGTTTCTTAGTTTTCTTCTCATTCTAATACTGAAATCTCAATCCAACATTTTTAGAAAAGCAGGGGTTTTCTGTGAACCAATGGAGACACCATTCCTTTTACTGTGTAGAGACCACAGTAAAAGGTGTGCATAGCAGAATGACAAATGTCATTCTTCACGCCTGCAGTTGAGTCTGCTTCTGTGTCTGAGGCCCTAAAGATAATTCCTCTGTCTCTATAGTGTTTTCTAGAAATGTTCAGAGTTCAGTCCTTCCCACACTGTGCTCCTCTGTGCACCAGCACGGAGCGGAGTCTTAAGGGCCTCACCACGTACAGAATCTTCTATGGACTTTAAATGCATCCAGCAGAGGGATGAGCTTGTAACTCCGGCTTGTGCTATCTCATGCATTCCTCTACTATTTTAGTCAATAACTTCACACCCATTTAGAGATGGGGTGATGAATATATAATACAAAATAGCCCTGGTTTCTGAATATGAGAACAGAATTATGGTTTTTAGGTTGTTGGTAACTTGCCCAAGAACACACAGTAAATAAACCGCATGATATAAAGTCAAATGCAAGAATGGAGATTTCTCATTAAATACTATCTAGTCCAAACTCTTCCTTTTCCAAACCACAAAAAGGAAGCTGCTCCTGGCGGAGCCGATCTCTCGGTTTCCAGCCCTCGCTGCCTGCCCTCCCTTTTCTCTACACGAGCCAACGCCCTCTCTCCCTGGAAAGATGGCTATAAAAGAAATGGCCTAGAATTTGTGCAGAGTTTGAGTGGTGACCGCAGAATGGGGAAGCATGCAGGTCTCATTGGCTGAGATGAGTCGGAAGAAGAAAAGACAACCCATGGTACTGGGGTACCTTCTCTCTAGACTCAAATGTCATTCCAGATTTGCAGGAAGCTAGTTTTTTTTTTTTAATCAGGGCTCTGTACTCTCCAGGACAATGACAAGGAAGATGTCGGAAAGTAGGAAAGTAGACCAGGCACCAATAAAACTGAGTAAACCAGAATGTTCTGCAGCCTGAAGGCACATCCCATGAGAGTGATTTACACTATCAAAGGGTAGATGGAGGTCCCAGCACAGTGACAAAATTCTTCACTGTGTTTAAAAAGATTCATGTTTATGTGTGTGTGTGTGTGTGTGTGTGTGTGTGTGTGTGTGTGTGTGTGTGTGTGTGTGTAAATATGTACTCAGAGATCAGAAGAGAGTCGAATCCCCTACAGCTGGAGTTACAGGTAGTTGTAAGAGGGCCAGTGTGGGTATTGGGAACTGAACTTGGGTCCTCAGCAAGAGCATCAGGGGTGAGATTTGAGAGATTTCTCTTTCTAATGTGCAAGGTGACTACAGTGTGACTCTCTCATATGGAGCCTCTGGTTGGCTTTCTTTTACCTGGGGACTTAAATCCGCTTTCTTTATTTGGCATCGAGTTAGATTCCTGAGGCAACCTTAACAAAGCACGGTAGACTAAGTGGCTGGGAGAACCAAAATTTATCATCTCACAGATCTGGAGACACGAAGTCCAAAACCACAGAGTCAGCAGCACTGGTTCCTTCTGAGGGCCGGTAAGGAGAATCGCTTCCAGTCCTCGCTCCGTGCTCCTGGCTCTAGCATTCTGTGGCTTATGAAGAGCATTCTTCCTGTGGTTTTTGTAACGCTTTTCCTCAATGTGTCTGTCTCCAGATTTCTCCTTTCCAGAATACACCACTCAGGTTTTCTAGGGCCCCCTCTAATGACCACCCCTTAACTTAACCAACTGCCCAAACTATTTGCAAATAAATTCTCAGTTACAGATGTAGAAATTATGTAATTTCAGCATTTGGAGGGGGATCATAATGCAACTCATAGTAACATAAAAATTCTTTGTGATCCTAATTCTAACCCTTGAATCACATTTTCTGTGATCATGGGACTCAGGGAGCTGCAGCTCAGAGTCCCCACTCAGCATCAAGAGTACCAGATGGCCACTCACTGGCCCAAAGGAACATTCAAATTCAGAAAGTACAGTATGTGCTGAATGAGTGTCACATTCTCCCTGTGGTCAAGTAGAAAAACTCATTCAATCAAGCCATTCAAAGCTGGGCACTATCTGTGGGGTGACAAGGACAGATTTGGACAAGTTCTAAGAAGGACGGCCTTTGCCAGAACCATCAGGAGGTAAGAACAGCTTGAGTTTAGTTTATAGTGTCCCCCTACTTTGACCACTGAACCCCAGCAAGACTTGACAAAATCTGGAAAGTGTTTCCGCAGACTGCTGAGGGAAGTTTGCTGGATTAGCATCCCACAGGCACAGTGTCCCTTCCTTCCTCCCCACCATAGCCAGAGCTCTTACCCTCCCCGTCCTCAGCAACACATGCCACAGAGCTTCCAAGCTGGAAAGAAGGGAGCAGACAATATGCTTTGGCCACTCTGCAAAATTAAGAGTCTGTTTTTATACAAAAGGAAATATTGTCCCTCGTTTCAAAGTTGCAACTTTAATAACCTTTTCAAAGATTGAGAGTTATGTTGGAGAAAACCCAGGGGAGGCAAAGGTTCCATGCCAAAATAAAGGTAAGTTTGCAAAAATGTTTTAAGTTCTAGAAACCAGTGGTGTA